GATGTGTACCTTGATAAGAGAAAAGAAACAGATGTGAGCTAGCAGTACTTGTTTAAAAAGTTTTAAGTTTTATAGTTTTATATGGTTGTGGTATAGATTTTAGCAGTAAAACTAGAATAGTAAGATTGGGCATAGGCCTAAAGGTAAAGAAAGAGCCCTGTAAGCCATGGTAAAAAGGTATTTATGCTTTACATAGGGTGTAGAGAGGACGTGAATGTTACAAGCAGAGAAAAATGACCAGACTTTGTTCTAGATTACTTATCAGGGTTAACTTTGGATTCTAGAAGGGCAAATATACGAGACAAGGGGCCAGAGAATTGCAGTTGGCCCAACACGGAAAACATTGTTATCATTATCAGTGGATTTAAAAGATGTTGAAGGAGTAGAACTGATGAAATATAGGCAATGGTGGAATTAAAATGGAAGTGAAAGAAGACAAAATTCAAAGGTTTTTAGCTTAGGTAAGGGCTGTAAATCACAAAGGAAATATAGTAGAAAAAGATAAGTTCAGATTTGGAATTCTATGTGTTTCCATTTCACAAACTTTTAACAGTTTTTGGCATATAGTTTGAGGGCTTAGTTTGATCTACCCCTTGGTGGATCCCAAGTTATTATGAATTTCCTAAGGTGAATAAGAGATATAGACATCTGCCCTTACCTCAACTTTAACAAGAGACCCTCTAATTTTGTCTATTTTATGCTTCAGGCTTCCACTTAAATATTTTATGTCAATAAATTTTTCAAGGCTAAAAGAAAAAAATTGTTGCCTTTTTCATCCATCTTCGCATCTTAGATCTCTAAACAGATTCCTTTCCCAATTATCTTCTTCATGTAGGTTGTATAGGTGATATTTCCTTAAATCTTTGCTTGTTGTGCTCCCACCTTGAAGGAGAACATCTTGGCTGGATATAAGGTTTGGGACCCATAATTCTTTATTTACAGTCAGTAGGTACTATTCCACTGTGTTTTAGCATCCATTGTTGTGCATGAGTTTAAAGTTGATCCCTTTTTCTTTTGTAAATTGTTTCTTCCTTCAAGTATATAGATTTTTCTCTACATCTTTATATAAGGGTTTTTTTTGTTTGTTTGTTTTGTTTTGTTTTTTTGTTTTTCTCTCTACATCTTTAGAGTTCAGTAATTTTACCAGGGCCAGCAAAAAAGCTCAGCAGATTAAAGTGCCTGCAAGCAGGCTGCAAGGCGCTGGGGGTTCGATCCCCAGGCCTGCTCTGCTGGCCCCGCCTCCGGGGCGTGCTGAGAATGCAATTGATACTGGATGTGGTGGCGCACACCTGTAATTCCAGCACTTGGGAGGCTGTAAACAGGAGAATCACTATGGGTCTGATCTAGTAGTGAGACCCTGAACACCTTGTAGACCCTTCCCTAAAATAAAAAAAAATTTAAAAAGAATTTTACCAGAATGTGCCTAGAGAAGTACCTTTTGACTTTCAATATCCAGATAAGTCTTTTGGCTGCTAAGGGAAATGTTTCAGGTATTTGTTAATCTTAGCCATCCATGTGTTTCTTTTTCTCCTTCCAGATTCCCAGGTGCTCACACGTTGTTTTCCTGCCTGTGCTCCCTGTCTCACGGTTTCCATCTCTGTGATCCTGCTCAGTGTCAAAATGGCTCTGTTGGACCTTCTTACTGAGTCTCAGCAATTAGCCATCTTGTTTTTGTTAAACTTTTTTGGTGTAGAAAATTATAAGGGGTTTTGGGTTTTTTATTTTTGGTTTTGATTTTTTGAAACAGTCTCACTATATGGTTCAGGCTGGCCTTAAACTCACTAAGTAGCCTAGGCTGGCCTCAAACTCCCAGCAACCCTCCTGGTTTAGCCTCCTGAGAGCTGGGATTACAAGCATTGACCCCATGAACAGCTCTCGTATTTTCAGTTTTAAGAAATAGCTTTGTCGTACAATTGAACTTAATTGCTCTTTATTCAAATTTTTATCTTCTCTTTTAGTGATTCTGTTAATATTAAGATTCACCACTTCAAGGAGTTGTGAAATGTTTTTCCTCCTTTCTGCAGAGTCCCATTAAGCAGTTACCTTCCTTTCCTACTCATTAATCCAACCACCAGTCCCTCAGCAGGGGAAGGCACAGAATCCTGTGGACCAGCAGTGTGTGAACCAGTGCCCATGGGGTGTCATTAGTCCTCAGCCAGGCTTCATGGCATCTGTGCCAAGCATTTTCCTAACCTACAGTGAGGACTTGAGCATCTTCCCTTCCCTGGTCTTGCAAACACAGAGGCTAGGAAATTTCTCCCCAAGAAACCTCACAAAGACCAGCAGCGCCCTTCCTCCCTGCGTCCTGGGAGCTCAGTAGGCTGGCTTCTCTGTCTTCTCTCTGGGATATCGGAGTCCTGATTGTATCTGGAGTTCTCCCATGACCAAAGGGGGAAATACAGCACCAACAGTCCGTACTGATCAGGTCTCAGCCACCACTGGCCTACTAGTCATAGCCACTGGGTTCAGGGGTGCTCATTGAATTGTGAGTAGAGACAGTCAGATCACTTTGTGGTCATCATCTTTTCAGAAACGGCTAGCAAGGTGAGGAAAAAAACAAGAGAGCATGTCCACGACACTGGTTGGTATGTAAGTCTCCATCCAGTGCATTAAGTACACATTTGTGGTTTCTAGCTGCAGCTCAATCCTCAGTACCCTGGAGCATACTTTTGTGTCTTTCCAGCATTTTCTGCTTCCCCAAAGGGAATGTTTGAAACTTTTATTTCTCTCCTCAAGACTTGTGTTTATACCATATCGTGTCCACTATTGGTCCATGACTAAATTTCTCCTCACAGAAAAGACTTTCAGGTATTATGTTGTTTATCTTTTTTACTTGCCTATAAACCTGACTTCTTTATCTACCTGCGTTGCCATCCATCTTTCCATCCTGCTAGAACCTCTTCCCCCATGTTTTTTGTGATAATGTGTGCTCACAGTTCTCCTGCTTCTCTGGGCACTTGCTTTCCGTCTTTCCCAGCTCTGATCCTTCCTCCATCCTACTGGTTACCCCAGGGCATCTCTTCAGTGCATAAAATTGATGAAATCACCCCCCTCCATATCTTAAAATTTCCTGATGACAGTAACAGGCACAAGATTCTGTAAACAGGTCAGAATTCTGGAGGGAATGGGAATTGATTACAATACAGCTTGAGGACATCTCAGGTGCTAGAAGTATTCTCTGTCTTGCTTTGGGTAGTACACATGGGTCTAGTCATATAAAAATTCACTGAGCTGTATGTACATAAAGGCAGTATATTTCACATTTTGCAATGTGTACCTCAGCTTTAAAAAATAAAATCATCACTCATTACCACAAGCTCCAAATTCCTTAGAATAGCCTGTAGATTCCTATTTGTTCCTCCCCCAAATTAAGGTGTAAGCATCTTCTTGTGACCCTTCTTGGCTTTCCCAGGGGTGTAGCTCTTCCATACTCACATAGCACTTTAAGCTTGGGCCTATTCTTTTTTTTTTT